ATAACTTTGAGATGAGAATATTCCTAAATAAAACATTAAAAAAAAAAAACTTTTCAAGAGTTTTGAATACATAAAGGTTAGCTATTTACAAACCTAACTACTTCAAACTCAAATCCTACCCCAAAATGGTACAAAAGTTTCCTCCAAATATAAGTTAGAACCAAGGATGCCATGTTGGATCCATCATACATAGGTTTCGAGGCGACAAAGCTGCTTCCATCAATTCATTCACACCTCTTTGCACAGACTGAGGCGGCTCGACCGAGTTCTCGTCCTGTGAAAAAAACCCGGAAAATATCAGATTGATCTATTTGGAAAATGGACCATACCTTCTTTTCGAGGTTTATGAGCAACAAAAACTCGGTGGAGATGGAAAATGATGATTGTACCTCTTCAGAGAAATATTGTGGAGCTATTCCTCTGATTCGTCCAATGACATCGTCTACGTTTGAGTTAACTTTGTGCTTGAGCTCGGCTGAGCTCAAAGTAGCAATTCCTGCAACTGGAGGAATAGGCATACCTAGAGGTCTTCTTCCAAACCAAGAAAGGAGCTCATCGCGGAAGAACATGGCTAATTGATACCGAAGATGTTCGTTTTGCTGTAATTTGGCAAAAGAGAAAAGGTTAGAGGCCAAATGATTTGCTTGCACTACTCAAGCTCTGTTAACATTCTTATTACCTTGGAGGAGAAAACTGCTTGAGCTGCGGAACACATGTTTGACATGAGAGGACCTTCAACACCAAACTGAGTGAAAAATGCTTGCATGTTCCTAGTGAGACGGAAAGGCACGGGTTCGTTGAGCTCGATCATCCCATTGGAGTCATAAGCTGGATGAAAATCTGTCTGCAATATTTTCCCGGTGTTTTTGGCAAATAAGATCTTGTTTGGGGATCTCCCACCGATTTGTAGAATGAAAGACATGAAATTGGAGACAGCTAGCTGGACAGCGAATTGCTTCTTGAAAGCCCAAAGATGGCTTCCGCTCATCGATGTCTTGTACATGTACTGAGAGAATATACTGTCACTGACTATGTTCTTTGTGATTTCACCATAAGCCTGTAGCCGAAGATCTCCAATTGCCTCTGGTGAGATCTGCCCTGAGATAGCTTGATTGAGTTTCTCCTTGAAGTAGGTTATAGGAACATCTGATTCTCGACCATTCCTTCCACAGTGATTCTCATACACCTCAAGGAAAGTATTGTACATGAGATCATCCTCAACCATACGGACCTGAAACAAAAAATGTTAGCATGCCATACTCCTAGAGAGATTTACCTAATCTTATTACATATTAACTAGATTGAATATGTAAAAGTTACAGGGAAATCTTGTAAGACGAACTGCAGAAACTACTCATTGAATGAACATCAACTGAAAAAAAAAATCCAAAAGGGGAAACTAAGCTGTTTTTTGGAGGCATACCTGAGACCAGACAGGGATTATGACCGGAGTATGAATTTCTATATGGCGTCTTCTTGACTCTTTATGCTTATCAAACATTTGGTTCATCACACGGAAAAGCTGCAAGATTCGTTCATCACTCCTAGCATTAGGTGTTAATGATGTTTGAATAATAAAATGCTTTTGTGAGCCATCAGAGCCAATAAGAGTCAAACGTCTGAAGCTGCTCCCATGCCTTCGTACACTTTGTATGTCTGCTCCAACCCTATCCAACTTTACTGTATGATCAGGAGCTACTTCCTGGAAGTTAAAAACAAGATTAGTTTCACTCCCAGCACAAAGGGAAGAGTTCCCCTCAAGAGAACATAAACAGTGTAGTTAAACAAGAGACAAGGATAGCAATCCAATTTACCTGGTCGGCAAAGTACTGTCCTGGTATCTCCACATCAACAACATTGAAGTCACGCAGCACCTTGCTCTCATCTTCCAATCTCAACACAGCGGGGAACCTGTCTTCAACATTGCTCTGAAGAATGTTTTTCCATTCTTTCAGTTTTATGGTCAACTCTGCAAGTGTGACAGGGAATGAATTACTTTCTGGATCCAGGTCATGCTCGAAACCCTGTTTGTACTCTCTCACAAATTCGACATGCTTGTTCACAGCGTCTGCAGAAAAACAAGCTCTGCATACACCAGAGAGTTCTTTCTTGAGGGGTTGGGGAACTTCAGCAGTGGTGGCAGTTGGATATTTGTAACATCGATGCAGCAAAGCATTCACAACCGCAAGAAGTCTTTCTTCTGGTAAAGTAACAAACCTCGATCCTATTTCTGTGAGAAGAACCTGAGAAAAATAATGCATTATTAGAGTATCCAAGTAAAGAAGTAGCGAACATGCAATTGAGTCAAAATCTAGTCAAAGCTACTTGTACCAGACGGTAGTCTCCTATTCTCCATTTTTTGGGATTTATCGAAAGAATTTACAGAAATCCGTATATTCACAAACAGAAAACTACCTCAAGTTCACCGGCCAAGTTGTTATGTTTACTCCTAATAGCTTCCATAATATCCCTTGCAGCATTAAAAGCCCCAGTAGCAGAGATTGCCAACGAAGCACCATTCCGTATTGCTTCGTGTTGACTATTCCCACTGCTGCTTTGGTTCATAGGTTGATCATTCCCTGAATGCACATTGTTTTCCACAGTGGAGCGTTCAGTTTCTTGCGCATGTGAGTTACCACCGTCATGGGCTCCAACAGCCCTGCTTCGTTGAGCACCTTGATGTATTTGTGCTTCTGACTGTAAATTACCTCCACCATGACCCGCACTAACACCATGAACATTCTGCTGCATTCTTTGAGCCAAAACCACTCTGCTAAGTTCAGATTTATGTTCCAGTAAGCATGTGCGAAGCCAGTAATACAGAGCCTGAAATGGAAAATAGTCTCATACTCAGATAAAATGAGCAAAAAACAATTCATCGAAAACACTAAAAGGAAATTAAATACCTGCGGGAATACTGCAGCAATTTTCAGCAGAACCGATTTGCAATGGGGTGCTTCTGTTCGCTGCAGGGAGAGCAACAGCTGTGGGATCCAAGAAAGCCACACCCAGTGAGGTACTTGGTCCAAGTGTTTATCAAATATCCTACCAACAGGCCCATTTGCTGTATCAAAACTAAGGAGATAAAGAACGCGAGCCATGTGACTTCTGGAATTGGAAACTCCAAATCTAATACCCTGAAGAAAGCAACTGACAGCATATTCTAGCCAGATTTCATCTTGTGTATCTTGGTATGCCTGCAAAGAAACCAAAATATAAACATCTAATATGAGAAGAGGGGGAATGCTAACAGCGCAAAGCAGCATCTAATCATAAGACATACCATGTCGCAGTAGTTTCCCCAGCTTATCCATCCTTTGGGTAAATTTTTGAAGAGGGTGATTGCATTGGAATACGCGATATTAGCACCTTCACTGTCGTTTAACTTCAAGTGAAAGTCCCCTTTAAGACGAAATATCTCTGCCTTGTTCTTGGCTAGGAAGAACTCTAAATTAGTACTATTAACCAAATTTAGACCCGTAACAAGCTCTCCTTTTGTTTCTAGATAAGCTTTTGCCTGCTCCTTAATTTTAACAAAGGCTTCCTGCACACAGGACGCAGAATAGAGGTTATCAAGAAAACTTCAAACATAGCAATATTTCAAGCTCAAATAAACAGATTCAGGGAAAGAAAACTTATGTTATAGGATCATGGAATAGGACAAGGTTGCATCAGATATCACATAAGTTAATGGGTGTATTTACAGCTATGCCAAGAAAGAAATTAATGTGAAAACTACATGTTGAATTCAAAGATGCGGTTCTTCTATAGAATCCTGCAATTGAATGAACTCTGCCCAAATTCTAAATTAGGTAATAAAAGACCAGTGAGTACTGTACCTGTACTTCCATTTGTGAGTGTCCATACATTTTGTCAAGTATTTGGACACAAACATCAGAAAGCCCTTGTTTCCGAGCTATCCTCGCAAGCTTATTGACATTCCAGGCTTTGTCACGATAGCCAAGGTGATGAAGTGGAGTGTTTGTCGTTATAAAGTCCTTAAATGCATCAATAACAACGTTATAGATTTCATTCCTCCACTGTAGCATATCATACCAGACGGTCATATTGTCCCATTCATTAGGTGTCCTGAGCCTCCAAGTCTCAAGGATGTCTTTCAGATCTGCATATTGATTTGTACCTGGAACCTTACTCCCATTAGCTATGTCAACATAAATTCTAGAGGACTCTTGCACCTCCACTAGTTGTTGGAATTGCTGCAGTAGAGGCACCCTTGCATGAAGAGACATTTCAGGTAACTGCCACCACTGTTCCAAGGCAAGATCAACGCCTTTTCCAACTATGTTTTCAGCATCTCCGACACCGTTTGCATTTTTTTCATGAAGGGCAAAACAAGCTTGAACCAAACGAAGCTTCGGCGTCTCTTCCACTTGTGCCTTGGGTATCACATGATCCTTCAAATATGCCCAATCTGGTACTTTCCAAAGACTATCAAGCAAAATTTCATAATTCTCAGTGCTTTTTCCAAAATCGACCAGGGCATCCCACTGACCAAGTTGAGTGGCACAGTGAAGCCATTGCTCCTCCCACAGGCACATTTCAGCCTTAGGTACTGTATTATTGTAAGTGCCTTGGGTTGCCTTAACCATCGCCTGGTAAAAAAGGCTCTGAGCAGGCTGCCAAAAACCATGTTGAACCATTGAAAGCCCAGCTCTCGATTCAGCAGTGATGGACCTATTTTTACACAATCCAAATCTCC